TATCTGTATGTGCAGACCTCTAGACAGATTCATGCTTTATATTTATTTATTAAATATCACATTATTCAGATTTGCTATCTTTAATTTCTGCATTGAAAACTTCAGATTTCTGTGCTGTTTTCTTAAGTGGGAGTCACTCTGCCTTTTTTTTTCTCCTTCAAGTAATCAATGCACTGCTGAATGAGTTCATTTTAATGCACTCAATCATGCCTCTAATGTTTGTAGCTTACGGGCGCAAGCATCAGTAATGCAGGAATGTTATATGGCTTTAGTCTGGCCATTTCATAAAATATTCATGGAATCAAAAATGTGCATCAAAATAGCGGTTGGGAGAATTACATTTATGTGCCTGCTTTTATGGCAGCTTCACATTTAAACCCATTTGTGTTAATATCTAGTCAATCTTTCTACTTAAAAAAAGGAAAATGGTAGTGATAGTATTCATCCTTCTTTGGTTAATATTTGTCTAAGATATCTGCTGTGATATTAGATTATAGATATAGATATTCTTTTGGAATGTTTTTAGGACTAGGAGTTGTAGTCTTGGCTGATATTCAGAAATATAAAATGTTTGTCCACCATGCTTTCTAGTTTACATCATGTTGACTTTTGTTCTTTAAATGAATTGATAGATTCTCTTTTTTGTGGGCTTTCAGTAAACTCATACTCTTCAAATAGTTTTATTCAGACAGTTAACTTTCTTTCCATTGAAAAGCTATAACAAACTTTATTTATTTAGTTAGAATTAAATAGTAATGATTTATAATACTTAATTTGTTTAGTGGGTGAATGATGTTTTGCATGAATATAATGGTTTGGAATAGGTCTTCTACTGTAAAAGATATGTAGTTATACCACTTCATCCCCATTATTAAGATGAACTGATTACTGATAGTTTTTTGATGCCTTGTCCTGGGGCCCCCATTAAATTATAACATTTTTGTAATACTGCTATATATACACTTGTGTTCTGACTCATTTAATTAAATGAGAGAAATTATCAGCATTTCTCAAAATTCAAGGTTGACACATGGGGATAACTTCTGAGCACATTGCTTGGGGAAATTAGACATGCAGCTATTTTTGTTAACAATACCAATGGAAATTAAGTAATTTTAAATTATTTCCTATGTAGCATTTTGAAAATGTGTGGTATAGATTTTCTGGAAGCAATCATTTTTCTTTGCGGCAATCTAAGGTGGATATAAGGGTCCTTTCCTTCCACAAAATATTCTTAAGGATTCTTCCCGCTGTCTGTCCCTCTTCTTCTTTTGTCTATATCCCTCTCTTTTACAGTAAAAATCATTTTGCCTTCTTGTAATTGAACTGACATAAAAAGAAATCCTAACTTTTAATTCAGAGATGCTATATAACCAGCTTTGTTTCCTCCTAATACTTTATATAATTGTATCTATTTATTTTTGAGTTACTACAAAAACATCTATTCAAGTGCTCTAGCTACTTGTGCAACAACACTGAATAATAATAATAAATAATAAACAAAACTAACTAAATCTACCAATTCAAACTGAACTAACTAACCAGGCAGAGTGAATAAGCCGACCTCCATAACCTTGAAGATTTTATTCTCCCCAAGCTTTTGACTATCTATACTGAAATGCTTCAGAGAATGGATAGGCCCTGCAGTTGAAGGTGAGCAGTTATTTTGCAGTTAGGAGTCAATGCAAAAAATGAAATGTACTACTAGCAGTAGCTTCCCATTTAATAAGACTTCGTCTTGAACATGTCTGCTGATTGCATCTGTGATGGTATTGCAAAAAAAGTAATTCTCAAACAGACAAATCCGAAGCCTGTTAAGTTAAAACTTTTCACCTTTTCTTTGCTTAGGATATTCCCAGACTAACCTGATATTTCTTTTTATTTTCTGTTTAGAATCTTTGGTCTTTTTCTTCTGTAACCAGATTGTGGTGTTATGATTTCAGTCTTGGCTTTTGTGTGTGTCTGTCTGTAATGGGACACACTTCGATGCAATTCCATCTGAAAAATAACATAAAGCATAGTTTGCCTCTATATTATGGTGATTGATGTAGAAGTTTTGGCAATAAGGATGTTAGGATAAGACCCTTATGGCTAGTTCACAGGGCAATTGGATCTGTGGAATATATTACTTCAATTTCCACTTTCTCAAGAACGCTCTCAAAGGAATCCCTCAAATAGGAGGGTGCATGGGAGAACAAAACCACCTATCCTATAGCCCCATACATCCTAAACCACCTTATTTGATCATTCCAAGCAGGCCCAGCCTTAGGGCAAGGCAAGCAAGGCGGTTGCCTAAGGCTCCACGCCGCCCAGTGCCCGTCCACCCCGGCTCGGCTGCTCGCTCTCTCGCTGCCCTGGCTGGGAGCCACCCCGCCACGCAGTGCAGCCAACCACAACATGCTACCTAGGGCCCTGCAAATTCTTTGGCTTCACCTGAGTCCAAGCATCCTAAATAGGGTATAGAAAGGTTTGCTGAATCTGGAAGTTTGCGTGAATCTGTTTACTAAGAGATAACATCTCAGAGTCTGAGGAGGAACAAGTACATTACATTCCCTTCAACAGCCACATCCCTGGATGTCACCCCTGCCTGTCCCTAGAAATTGTTTCTCCTTGAGGTTGGGGAGGAGGGTTCAGTTTCAAATGAATGAAACCATATGTCTGTCAGTCTTTTCCCATTTAAAATATTTGGTGAAATTAGACTACATAAATTGTATGGCAGAAAAGCTTTGCACTCTTATCTGAAAAGACTCAGGTCCTTTGAAAAGTCCAAGCCATTTGTTCATGGACTTGGAGGTGCGGGTGGAAAGCGGGAAATGAGCTGTGCCAGGGAGTAGCCAAGTGCCTAAAACTATAACCCACTCAGAATTGCAGCCATTCATTCCTCCTCATAATCATCTGTTTTAGAACAAAGGATAGCTTCTCATTCCAGATCCAAATTTCTGAACCTAGCAGCTTGGTGTGAGGTACCTTTGACTTGGACTGTCCCTGAGTAGGTCAACAGGTCATGATAGAGAATGTAAAATTTCCTCTAGGAAAACTCTTGCTTTGAAATGGAAGGTAAAGATTGTTAAGGGTTTTTTTTTTTATAAGTCTTCCTCTCTCTGTCACAATACCTATTATATTAGGCTAACAGTTGATCATCAGATTCCCTGGACTGACTATAATCACAGTCAAACTTAGCATCTTCTGATTTTTGAGTCTTCATACATCCAACAATTGAAATTTTTGAAATAATTAGTACATAGCTTCCTATCTGTGTATGAGTCAATTCTTACATGGGACTTAAAATGGCTTTAACAAAGCTATTGAAATTCCATATTTAAATTCCTTGAAGATTGTCCTCTTACCATTTATCTTTGAAGTCAATGTTATCATGGCAGTCACTTCAGAAGGCAGTAAGGCACAATCCCTGATGACTGACCCTTGTTACACAGCATTCACAAGTATAAGATACTTTGTTCAAACTAAAATTACCTTAAAGCTCCTCTGAATCAGTCTTACCTGTCTTCTAGCAATTTTCTGTGGCCCACTCTTTACCCAGAGGAAGCTAGTCTCTGTAAATTAGAAATTAAGGAAACTTTGAATTACTATCTTGAGAGGACTAAATTCATTGTAAGTCTACAAGGCTGAGTGTTTATATGGCGGTAAGTCCAGTAAGAGACCAAATCCACTCAGATTTTTTAAATAGATTAGATTTTATCTTTAAACTTGTGTTTACCTTATTAGTGTTTCAATAAAGGAAGATCTTAGAGTATATTTGAAAAACTCTATGCTCTAAATCTTTCTTACTTAAGAATCTTTAAGCATACAGGCAGTCCCCGAGTTACGTGGATCCGACATATGTCGGATCCCTACTGACGAACGGGGCTTTTCTCGCCGCAGAGGACGCGGGCAGCGGTACCGACCAGATGTGCAGCGGTCCCGCCGCCCGCGTCCTCCGCAGCGAGAAAAGCTGCTCCGCGTCTCCCTGGTCTGCAGGACTGAGGGAAGTGAGGTGTGGGAGAATAAAATTGAGCTCTGGAGAAATGTTTGGCTAGAGTTTCCCCTACA